AGGTCGCTGTCATACCAGCTACTTGGGAGGCTGAGTGGGAGGACGGCTTGAGCCCGCGAGATGGAGGCTGCGGTGAGGGGCGATTTTGCCACTGCTACGCTCTGGCTTGGGTTACAGAGTGAGACCACGTCCAAAGAAACGGAAACAAAAAGAGACCTCTGCTCTGCAAAAGGCGCTGTTGAGAGAATGAAAAATCTACCCTCTAGCAATCAGGGGTTGGTTCCTGAATCATCCCGCTGGAATGGAAGCTCTAACAGTGGTGTGGCGGTGGGGCGTGTCTTCCATTTGTCCCTCCTTATCTACCGTCCCTGCTTCTCCGCCCTGCTCTGGGCCCCAGGTAGAGGGGAGAGGGTTTGTTCCCCAGGGCTCCTCCCTGTGAGGGGGCCACTACAATTTGGCTATTGCCTCCACGAATCTAAGTGACTCCTCCCCAAGTCAGGTGACCACATGCACACCCTCAACCCGGTCCCCTTCCTTCAGGCCTGTGGATGAGGGCCTCTCACCCCTGCCGGCCCCGGGAGCTTGCACTAGCTCTTGTCATTTGCCTTCGCTATCCCATCGCGTTATAAAGGCTTCTGGTATCAACCCCACCTCAAATTATCCTAAATTGACGGGGCCATCTGTTTCCTGCTGGGCCCTAACTGATACACTATAATTAAAGATGTGGGAGAATGCAAATGAGAGATAATGGTAAGACGTAAAAAGCCGGCTACCAAACTGTATACAGCATGGTTCCAATTTGGGTGAAATTGCTCACAGAAAGGAAAACAAAAGGAGGAACAGTGACAAATTGTTAAAAAATATTTACCTCCAGGAGGTGAAATACGAGACTGACTTTAACTCTGCAAGTTGTATGTTTCTGTATGGATGAAATCTTTTTTTTTGAGACGGAGTTTCGCTCTTGTTACCCAGGCTGGAGTGCAATGGCGCGATCTCCGCTCACCGCAACCTCCGCCTCCTGGGTTCAGGCAATTCTCCTGCCTCAGCCTCCTGAGTAGCTGGGATGACAGGCACGCGCCACCATGCCCAGCTAATTTTTTGTATTTTTAGTAGAGACGGGGTTTCACCATGTTGACCAGGATGGTCTCGATCTCTCGACCTCGTGATCCACCCGCCTCGGCCTCCCAAAGTGCTGGGATTACAAGCTTGAGCCACCGCGCCCGGCCTGGATGAAATCTTTTCCAAGGAGCAAGTGTTACTTTGGTAGTCAGAAAACATATGCACAAACAAACAAATGGACAATTCCTATGTATTGGGACGAATTGTTCCAGAAGTGGGAGGAAGGATGAGAGGAGGATGATGAAGTTACAGGTGATTTTTTTTTCTTTTATGCTTTTGTGTATTTCTCTCTCTCTTTTTTTTTTTTTTTTTTTTTTTATAAAGATGGGGTTTCACCATGATGGCCAGGCTGGTCTTGTACTCCTGACCTCAGGTGATCCACCCACCTTGGCCTCCCAAAGTGTTAGGATTACAGGCGTGAGCCACCGCGCCCGGCCGCTTTTGTGTATTTTTCAAGCTTTATCCGCTGAACATGCGTGGCTGATTTTATCCGAAAAGCATTTAACAAAAAGAGATGGTTTGAGACAGACACAGAGACCCGGGTCAGGATGCTTGTTGGAGAAATGAATGAGAAAGATGGATGAGAAAGATGGAGTCACATAAAGCCAGAGACAGAAAGACACAGGAAGAGAGAGAGAAAGAGGGGGGGAGAGAGAGAGAACAAAAAGCAAGACGTGAGAGGAGAACCTGAGAAAAATCAGGGCAGTCATGGCATAGTGAACAAGCTTTGAAACTGGACGGTGTGCGGGTTCAAGCCCTACCTCTGCCATTTTTTAGCTGTGTATCTTTGAACAGTTCCTTTACTTTACTGGGCCTCAGTTTCCCATCTGTAAAATAAGGTAACAGAACATCCCTTTTGTTTCTTTCTTTCTTTCTTTTTTTTTTTTTTTTTTTTTGAGACAGTCTCTCACTCTGTCACCCAAGCTGGAGTGCAGTGGCACAACCAGAGCTCACGGCAGCCTCAACCTCCCAGACTCAAGGGATCCTCCCATCTCAGCCCCATGAGTAGCTGGGACAACAGGTAGGTGCCGCTGTCAGAGAGATTTGAACCCAAGTGACTCCATGTTGAGTGAGGGCTAGGGAAATGAGGCTGGGCCTTGCTGGGCTGCATTCCCAGGAAGTTAGGTATTCCTAGTCTCTAGATGTTTATGGTTAAGGGAACCAATTGATAACGTTTACTAAACAGACTCAGACTCAGGAATGTCCTGAAATCCCTATATCTTGAGAAGCATTCTTAATTTTGCTTTAAAGATAGGAATATCAGTTCTTGCAAAATACAGTAATTAAGAAATTTAATCCTTTATCACAAACCCTTGAGCAGAGCACATCTCCCCATGATTTTTTTTTGGTTATTCTATATATAAACAAGCATGGTACCCAGGGTGGCCCATTCCTTCACTTTCAGCAACACCCTTCTCTGTCTATGGAGTAGCTATTCCTTCACTACTTTTTTTCTCACTCTGTCAGCCAGGCTGGAGTGCAGTGGTACTATCTTGGCTCATGGCAACCTCTGTCTCCCAGGTTAAAGCAATTCTCCTGCCTCAGCCTTATGAGTAGCTGGAACTACAGGTGTGCACCACCACACCTGGCTATTTTTTTTTTTTTTTGTATTTTTTTTTTTTTTTTTTTTTTTTTTTTTTTTTTTTTGAGACAGAGTTTCACTCTTGTTACCCAGGCTGGAGTGCAATGGCGCGATCTCGGCTCACCGCAACCTCCGCCTCCTGGGTTCAGGCAATTCTCCTGCCTCAGCCTCCTGAGTAGCTGGGATTACAGGCACGCGCCACCATGCCCAGTTAATGTTTTGTATTTTTAGTAGAGACGGGGTTTCACCATGTTGACCAGGATGGTCTCGATCTCTCGACCTCGTGATCCACCCGCCTCGGCCTCCCAAAGTGCTGGGATTACAGGCTTGAGCCACCGCGCCCGGCCTTTTTTTTGTATTTTTAGTAGAGACGGGGTTTTGCCACGTTGGCCATGCTGGTATCGAACTCCTGACTTCAAGTGATCCACCTGCCTCAGTCTCCCAAAGTGCTGGGATCACAGGTGTGAGCCACCGCGCCTGGCCACCACTTTACTGTTCTAAATGAACTTGCTTTTGCTGTGCACTGTGGACTCCCCCAGATTCACTCTTGCACTAGACCGAAGAACCCTCTCTTTGGATCCGGAGTGGGACCCTTTTCCAGTAACACCACTATGCCTATCTCATTTTTTAATTCCTTATTTTTTGTAGAGACAGGGTCTCACTGTGTTACCCAGGCTGGTCTTAAACTCCTGGCCTCAAGCAATCCTTCCTCCTCGGCCTCCCAAAGAGCTGGATTACAGGCCTGCGCCACTGTGTCCAGTCTTAGGTCATTTTTGACAATGAAATTGTCACCTGTAAACAGAATTATTTCCCTACTCTGCATTGGTTGCAAAGAACACCCAATTGGAAACAAAAAGGCAAGCAGGTGTTATTCCTGACTAGGATGGGGAAGGGGAGAACTCTTGCTCCAAAGACACCTTATCGCCAGGCATGGTGGCTCACGCCTGTAATCCCAGCACTCTAGGAGGCCAAGGTGGGTGGACCACCTGAGGTCAGGAGTTAGACACCAGCCTGATCAACATAGTGAAACTGCATCTCAACTAAAAATATAAAAATTAGCTGGGGGTGGTGGCATATGCCTGTAATCCCAGCTACCTGGGAGGCTGAGGCAGGAGACTCACTTAAACCCGGGAGGCGGAGATTGCAGTGAGCCAAGATGGTGCCACTGCACTCCAGCTTGGGCCACAGAGGGAGACTCAACAAGAGCAAAACTCCATCTAAAAAAAAAAAAAAAAATCACCCTATAAATAAATAAAAAGCAAAGATGCCTTATCACCCAGCTGTGGAGAGCTGGGAAATGTTAAGGAGTTAGATGTGGGCTGGGGAGGTATGTAAGCATGAGCAGGGAGTAACTCCAGATGCAGGTGCAGATCATAAACACCCCTCTTCACATGATGTATGTTCATGCAATTGTCGAGTGTATTTTCCTCCATGGGGGATGTGGTTAGCATTATTACATGTTAATGATCTAAAGGTAACCATGGGTCACCGTGTCTGGTTTGCCCATTTTTGCCCAGCCTTATTTTCCTCGTGTAATGGGCAAAGGAAGTGGCCTGAACCTTCTGTGGCCTTTCGGGCCATCTGCAGTTTTTTAGGCAATGCACCTATAAATACAGAGACTAGAAAGGAAAAACGGTTTAAGAAAATAATGAGGCCAGGCGCAGTGGCTCAGGCCTGTAATCCAAGCATTGTGGGAAGCTGAGGAGGGCGGATGGCTGGAGTTCCAGAGTTACGAACAGCCTGGGCAATGGGGCAAAACCAGGTGTCTACAAAAAATGGTGGCAGCACCCACCGGTAGTCCCAGTTACTTTGGGAGACTGAGGTGTGAGGACTGCCTGAACCTGGGAGGTTGAGGCTGCAGTGAGCTGCGACTGTGCCACTACTACAATTCAGGCAACAAAGCAAGACCCTGTCTCTAAAGTGAAATAAAAGCAGTTTTCTCGTTCTCAGCTACACCTGCAGGGCTGCCCTGGTTATATATATATATATATATATGTATATATGTACATGATGATATGTCTGTGTCAATTACACAGAAGAGGGCCTGATGCACAGTCAACACTATACAAGGGCTGGTTATGGTGGCAGAACAAAGATAAGGACAACCAGGATGAAGCAAAGCAAGAGGAAACAGACAGTAGAAACAGGGACAGAGACGATTTAGAAACCGAGTGTTGGAAGCCAGCCCTCCCTGGCACAGGCCAACCTTGGGTTGAAGTCCTCACACCCGACTGGGATCCCAAAGGCCTGCGGCCAGCAGTGACATTCTGAAAGCTTGCCAGGGACGGGACGGGGAAGCCCAGCGGCAAACTCTTTCTCAGCCCTGCACATAAAAGCCAGTATGGGCCGTCGAAGCTCTGTTGCCCAGGTGGAGACTGCTCTGGACGCCTCCCAGGGAACAGCGGACGGCAACACTTGCCGCAGCTCGAGGCACAGAGGGTGCACTACAGGCAGGAGTGGGGCAGAGGCCGAGGCGAGGAGGGGACCGCCCCAGCCGTTTCTCCCCTGCGTGTGCTGCGCCTTCGCGCTCGGAGCATCGCCTCCCCTTGCGAGCCTGACCCAAGGCCGGGGCTGGACGCGTGGGCCCCTCTCTTTGGCCTCCCTGACGTCCCTGGCCTCCTGCAGGAGCAGAGATGCGGCCAAGTGTCGCGGCCGCGGTGGCCGCGGGGCTGTGGGTCCTGTGCACGGTGGGTGCGGCGGCCCCCCCGCGCTGCCTGCTCTCACACTACCGCTCGCTGGAGCCCCGGACGCTGGCGGCGGCCAAGGCGCTGAGGGACCGCTACGTGAGTGACCGTCCAGCCCCTGCGCCCCCGGGACACTGGCCCCGACGGGTTCCCACACGTCCGTCCCTGTCCCGAGGGGTCCGTACAGTCCTAGAGCCTCTCGTATGTCACAGCCCACAATTCCCAACACCAGATCCCCGCAGGCCCCGTCGGCAGCGCGAACGCAGGCTCAGGGTCAGTCACACAGAAGGGCGCCCTGCCCGGCGGACTCGGCTCCAAGTCGGGGCGCAGGGCTTTGCTGGGGGAGCGCGGGGCGCAATCCAGCCCGGGTTCACGCCCTCGGGGAGCTCGTGGTTCAGCGTACGACACGCACAACCGTACGCGGCCAGTGCCCATCCACGTCTAGGAATCCCAGACAGCACAGCGGTTAGGGGCCCTGGCGAGGGGGCCCATTCGGACGCGATACCTGCCGCTTGTCCCGCAGGAGGAAGAGGTGCTGAGCTGGGGGCGGCGCAACTGCTCCTTCCACCCCAGGAGGGATCCTCCGCGGCCGTCGGTGAGGCCCGGGACGGGAGGCGGGGGAGGCACGGCCCGATCGCGGCCCCCTCTAACGCCCGCGCGTCCCCGCAGTCCTGCGCGTGGCTCCGACACGTGGCCCGAGGCATCGCGGACGCCCAGGCGGTGCTCAGCCGCCTGCACCGCCCGGAGCTGCTCCCTGGCGCCGGCCGGATCCTGGAGCTGCTGGCGGCCGCGGGGAGGGACGTGGCGGCCTGTGTGAGTGACCGCCGCGCCCCGCCGCCCCTCGCCCCTGCCGGCTTCCCTGTGTCCTCAGGCGGACGGCGAGCCCAGCGCTTTGCGAGTCTGTCCCGCTTAGCGGAGAAACCCGGGTCCAGACCCGGGTCGGGTCCTCTGGGCGTCCACGAAGCCGGGCTCGGGTCTGCGGCTGGGGGGCCACGGGCAGATGCAGAGGGAGTGGGGGGCTCCTCTGTCCTTCGCCTTCTCCATTTGCCCCGTGTGCCCCCTCCAGCTCGAGCTGGTCCGGCCGGGCTCCTCCAGGAAGGTCCCCGCGGCCCCGAGGAGGCGTCGCAAGCCGCAGAGAGCTGTGAGTGCAGCCGGCGGGACACGCTTGCCCTGCAGGGAGGAGCGGGCGAGGCGGACAAGGCCGGGACTGAGCAGGGCTGGGAGCGGCGGGACTGGAGGGGTCTCCTCGGGAGGGAAGAGCCTGGCTCAGCCCCGCTGCGCTCCGCCCCCCGGGCTCCAGGTCTCGCCTCGGTGCCGCGAAGCCCGCGTGGTCTTCAACCTCCTGCGCCTGCTCACGTGGGAGCTCCGGCTGGCGGCGCGCTCGGGGCCTTGCCTCTGACCCCGCCCCTTCCGCCAGCTCCGAAACCTCCACGCCATTGGCTGCCGAAAGTGGCCCCTTTCGCCCATTGGCCTGACCAGGTGAGGCTCTCAGCCAATAGGCACTGAGGCACAGGAACTTCTCTGCAGCCTTGGGCCTGACTTGGAGCCTCTGTCTCGGACACGAGAGGCGCGGGTCCTTCCTCCAGGGAACAGAGCGCCGTTCCCCAGGAAGCAGCGATGTTTCCTCGGGGTGCATTGTGCGATCCTCCAAGGGCTGCTGTAGCAGGAAGAGACTTGTGCTCTAGAAACTGTGGTTGACCCCAGGCACGGCACCAGTTCCTCCTTGTGTGGTTACCAGGACACCCCCAAACCCGGGGCCCAACCCTGGATTTGTAGCCCCACAGCCAGCTTTGGGATTCTGTGAATCTGTGACTCTTGGATCCAGCATCTGGGGAGTAGCATTCCCTGAGGAATTTGGTAGTGAAATCCAAGAGTCCTTACTTGACCGTAGTTCTTTAGATTCCCTGACCTCTGTTGTTTGTATTTGTGAAATTCCTGTGTATTTGCTGTTCCGTCTCCTGGTTTATTAAAGTTATTAAAGAGTGTTTTGATTGCATTGGTTGTTTTCCGTAGGATGGTTCTGAGGTGCACCTTACAGCAAAAATAGAGGCTGAGCCAGGGACTCAGGTGGCCTGAGTTTCAGTTCTCACCTGCCAGTTAATTACAGTGCACGACAGGACAAATTGCTTTCTGAGCCCGTGTTTCCTCACCTGTAGGATGGGTTAGTGTACTTGCCTTGTGGAGGAGTAGTGTACGTTGAGATCACGTTTTAAACTCTCCAGCTGAGGTCCTGGTATGGTCTTAATGAGTGGGTCCCATTAAATCATCACTCACATAAACACACAAACAGTTGTGTTTTTAATTTTTTCTCCAAATCTGTGCATCAGCAATCTGTGTTGCTGAATGCACGGCTCCTTGCCAAGGTCACACAGCTAGTGAGGGTCAGAACTAGATTTGAACCCTAGACCCTTCAGCTCCAGGACTCATGCTCTTCATCACTGCCTGAAGTTCCCTAAGAAGAACAGCACCCGCGTGGTGTCCGAGTCCTTGGTCACATCTCAGTTCTTGAGCAGAGCCTCATATTCCTGAGTCCTTACTTGCCTGGGCCATTAAGAAATGTTGGCCTCTGGGCATGGTGGATCACACCTGCAATCCCAGCGATTTGGGAGGCCGAGGCAGAGAGATCAGTTGATGTCAGGAGTTTCAGACCAGCATGGTCCAATATGGTGAAATACTGTCTCTACTAAAAATATATAATTTAGCTGGTAATGGTGGCATGTGCCTGTTATGCCTGCTACTTGGGAGGCTGAGGCAAGAGAATTGCTTACACCCAGGAGACGGCGGTTGCACTGAGTCACTGCACTGCAGCCCAGGTGACCGAATGAGACCCTGTCTCAAAATATGTATATATTGGCCAGGAGTAGTGGCTCAGGCCTATATTCCCAGCACTTTATAGGCTGGATGAGGAGGATTGCTTGAGCCCAGGAGTTTGAGGCTGCAGTGAGCTATGATCATGCCATTACACTCTGGTGACAGGGTAAGACTCTATCTTAAACAACAACAAACCCAGAGCAGGCAGAATCCTCTTGGCAATACACTTTCCTGTAGGTCAGGCGTCCCCAAACTTTTTACACAGGGGGCCAGTTCACTGTCCCTCAGACCGTTGGAGGGCCACCACATACTGTGCTCCTCTCACTGACCACCAATGAAAGAGGTGCCCCTTCCTGAAGTGCGGCGGGGGGCCGGATAAATGGCCTCCGGGGCCCGCATGTGGCCCGGTCCGTGGGCCCGGGCCGTAGTTTGGGGACGCCTGCTGTAGGTGATCCCTGAGTCTGCATCAGTTTCTCTTTCCCCCAGCTGCTCACCTGGCTCACCGGCCCCGCCCTGCCCTGGGCTTTCCCAGCCTGGAGCTCCCCTGGTGGCCGGTTTCTTACCTAAAGGCTGTGTTTTCACTTTTCCTACATCAGCTGGGGCTGCCCTTCTGTCCGGGATAAAAGCTGCCCCATGGAGCTCAGGCAGCAATCACATCCCAGACAGAGCTCAAAATTGACAGAAAGAGTCGAGGCCGGGACACAGGCTGAGATCTGGAAGAGGAGACTGAAAAGAACAGAGACTCCAAACAAGACCCAGAGAGACCCCGGGTGACAGCCTCAGAGTGGGGTCCTTCTGCTGACGAAGACCAGAGATCAGAAATGAAACGAGGTGAGCCCACATCTCTGTCTGAGACGCTGAGCTCCTGCAGCTCTGCCCTCAGGGGGCAGCCGCTCCATCCCCTCAGCTCCCTTTCTTTCTGTGACACAGGCATGAGCAGGGGCTGCATGGCAGTGCTGGTGCTGATGGCCACAGTGCTGACTGTCACTGGAGCAGTTCCTGTCACCAGGCCCCCCAGGGCCCTCCCGGATGCAAGGGGCTGCCACATAGCCCAGTTCAAGTCTCTGTCCCCACAGGAGCTGCAAGCCTTTAAGAGAGCCAAAGATGCCTTAGTGAGTCTCCCCCTGCCCTCCTGCCTCCGGCTAGCCTCCACCCCCAACTCCAAGGATCACCATGCTTTCCCTCTCAGCTTCCTTCACTGGGGTAGCCTCTTCCTTTCCTACAGTGGGCTATCTCATGCTCCTACTGCAGGGGGCTAATTCATGTTTCCTGGCCGTGCAGGGTCCTCTACCGTCCTCCCAGCAGTTCACCTCCCCTATCCTGTTGTCAGCCCTCCTGCCAATCCCCCCAGGGTGGTCTAACCTCCACCTCTCTTGCTGGGGCTAACCTGTGCCTTTGCTGTCTAGGAAGAGTCGCTTCTGCTGAAGGACTGCAGGTGCCGCTCCCGCCTCTTCCCCAGGACCTGGGACCTGAGGCAGCTGCAGGTGAGAGGGGGAGTCAGGCCACCCACACCCTCACAGCCCCGCTCCCCAGGCTCTGCTCTCCCCTTCCCCTTCTCCTTCTCCCTTGTCCCTCTCTCCTCTCCCCACATCTGCTCCCCCTCCCCTCTGCTCCCACCTGACCCCACTGGCTGTGCCCTCTCCCCTGTGCCTGTCACCTTCACTGGTTCCTCTCTGTTCTCTCCCCCCGACCTGTTCCCCTCACCTGCTCTTTCTCACCTCTTCTCAGGTGAGGGAGCGCCCCGTGGCCTTGGAGGCTGAGCTGGCCCTGACGCTGGAGGTTCTGGAGGCCACCGCTGACAATGACATGGCCCTGGGTGACGTCCTGGACCGGCCCCTTCACACCCTGCACCACGTCCTCTCCCAGCTCCGGGCCTGTGTGAGTACCTGGGTCCCGGGCACCCAGGTCTGTGGGTTCTGAGCAGCCGCTTCCCCTGTCCTGGCCCAGCTCTGCCTCACACACCACCCTCCTCTGCACACAGGTCCAGCCTCAGCCCACGGCAGGGCCCAGGCCCTGGGGTCGCCTCCACCACTGGCTGCACCGGCTCCAGGAGGCCCCAAAAAAGGTGAGTGACCCAGAAGGGGAGGGACCGGGGTCTGGGGAGCCACTGGGAGCCGAGATCCTGGACAGCCCCTGACCCATCCCCTCCTCCCCTGCAGGAGTCCTCTGGCTGCCTGGAGGCCTCTGTCACCTTCAACCTCTTCCGCCTCCTCACGCGGGACCTGAAATGCGTCGCCAGCGGGGACCTGTGTGCCTGACCTTCCCACCTCCCTGCCACCCATCATGCAATCTGAGATTTTATTTATACATCAACCACTTGTCTTAATTTATTGCCACCCAATCGCTATTTATGTATTTGTGTATGTAAACCCAACTCACCTCCGGGAAAATGTTTATTTTTCTACTTTTTACAAGGCTTGTTGAAATAAAGAGTGAGGAAAAGACACGGATGACGCGGGCCCGCGTGTGCATTGCTGTGCGTTTCCTTTGCGTCGCTGCCGTAACAAATCACCCCAAAGGCGGCATCTTCCAAAGACACAGTTGATGAGCTGGGGGTCTGATGTCAGAGGCTCGCTGGCCCCCGGCGGTTTCCCTCTTGTGGGGCTCACAGGCTGGAATCCAAGCGTTGCGGCTGGGTTCTTAATGGGGGCTCTGGGAAAAAGCTTGTTTCAGTGTCGCTCACATTGTTGGCAGATCACGGTTCGTCGCTGCTGTAGGACGGAGGTTCCTGCCCTCCTTCTGACTGTGGGTCCATCCTGAGCTGGCTCTGCTGAAAGAGACCTCCACTCCTCTCGCTGGGCTAACCTCCGCCCTCCCTGCAGTGGGCTATCTCCTGCTCCTACTGCAGGGGCTGATTGGTGTCCTCCTGCAGCGGAGGGTCCTCTCACATCCTCTCGGAAGTTAACTTCCCCTATCCTGTTGTCAGTCATCTTCTAATCCCACTGGGGTGGTCTAACCTCCATCCCTTCTGCTGCGGGCTCACCTGTGCCCTTGCTCTCTAGGAAGAGTTGCTGATGGACCGCAGGTGCCACTCCTGCCTCTTCCCCAGGACCTGAGATCAGAGGCAAAACACAGAATGTATCCTATTCCCCGTGACAGTGGAGGACAGAATGATTTCACTCCCTGACAACTCACTGCTCTTCACCACCCATGCTTCTCCCGCTCTCCACGGTCCCTGCCCATCGGACCCTCCGTCTCAGAGCCAGCAACACTGCCCCAAACCTTCTCATGCTTGGAACCTCTCTGACCTCTCCTGCCACGCTGCTCTTGTGCTTCCAGCCAGAGAACGTCTTCTATGTTTCAGGGCTCGGATGATGAGACTGGCATCCAGGAAGATTTCCCCAGTGACAGTCCACATGTCATAATCACATCTGCAGAGCTCCTTTGCCGAGTGACCTAAGATACACACCGGGTCCAGGGATGAGGTGCTGGGCACCTTTGGGGTGGCATCTCTGGCTTCCTACAGTGTGTGTGTGATTGTGTTTCCGATTGTGTGTCATTGTAGTTGTGGGATTGTGTGTGTGTCCTCTCCACCTCAGCATGTGTGAGGGGTCATTTAGAATGCATCGTGCTAGGCCGGGTGCAGTGGCTCACGCCTGTAATCCCGGCACTTTGGGAGGCCAAGGTGGGTGGATCACCTGAGGTCAGGAGTTTGGACCAGCCTGGCCAACATGGTGAAACTCGGTGTCTACTAAAAATACAAAGTTAGCCGGGCATAGTGGTTTATCCCTATAATTCCAGCTACTCGGGAGGTTGAGGCAGGAGAAATGCTTGAACCTGGGAGGTGGAGGTTGCAGTGAGCTGAGATTGCGCCACTGCACTCCAGCCTGGGCAACAAGAGTGAAACAAACTGTGTCTCAATAAAAAAAAATTAGCCAGGTATGATGGGGCACACCTGTAATTTCAGCTGCTCAGGAGGCTTAGGCAGGAGAATCACTTGAACCTTTGAACCTAGGAGGTGAAGATTGCAGTGAGGTGAGATCACACCACTGCACTACAGTCTGGGTGACTAAGTGAGACTGTCTCAAAAAAAAAAAAATAATAATAATCAAAACCATCATTCATGTCACTAAACACACTGAGCCATTTCCATGTGCCTGAAATAACCTCAGCCCACTATACTTTTTGCTTATGTAAGCCACACAACAATCCCACAAAAAAGTGTAAAGCCTTAAATACAAATGTGGGAAAAGGAAAGAGGCTGAAAATAAGCCAGCAAACCATCTAGTTTAAATGCGTGGAAAAGAACAGCACACAAACTCAAAGAAATGGGCCATGAGCAGTGGCTCACCCTGTAATCCCAGCACTCTGGGTGGCCAAGGCAGGCGGATCATCTGAGTTCAGGGGTTCGAGACCAGCCTGGCCAACAAGGTGAAACCCCGTCTCTACTTAAAATAGAAAAAATTAGCCAGGCATGGTGGTGGACGCCTGTAATTCCAGCCACTTGGGAGACTGAAGCAGGAGAATCTCTTGAAGCCGGGAGGTTGCAGTGAGCTGAGATCGTGCCATTGTATTCCAGCCTGGGCAACAAGAGTGAAACTGCATCTCAAAACAAAAACACACACACAAAAAAAAAAAAAAAAAGAAAGAAAAAAAGAAAGAAAGAAAAAAATAAGGGAGTTTCTGAGCCTACTCTGGCTCGGAGACTGCCTGATAAAAAATAGTAACAGTTTAAAAAATAAGAGAGAGAGAGTGTGTGTATCAATGACCAGTATTAAGCAATAAGAAACAGTAAACCTCTCTACAAATCTCAAAACTCCAAGAACCTGTAAGCAGTTTTTGTGTTTGTATTGTGTCCACTTCACACTTGAGGAAAACTAAAGCTTAGAGAGGTTGAGTAACTTGCTGAAGCCCACACAGCACGTTACAGGCAGAGACAGGATTTGAACCTGGGGTAGGGGGGGGTCCTAGACCCGCTCAATCTCTGGGCTATGGCACCACCTCCCGAGCGTTTCTGGGCTCCCCCTTCCCGGGCTCTGCGACCGGCGAAACCCCACCTCCTAGCCGGGCTTGACTTAGGGTTTTCACCGTCCACCCGCAGGGGCTCCTGGACTAACGCTATTGCAGCCCTTGAGTTTCAGATCCAGCTTTCCTCACCTGCTTCCTTCTGAATTTCATCTGGGTTTCCATCTCCACCGCTTCCCTGAGTTCCCCTGGCCTGGCTTCCCTCTGTCTTTTTGCCACCTCCTCCTGGTGGCAGTTTCCAAATTTGGGCTGTATTCTTGCATTATCTGTCTCAGCTGAGGCTGTCAGTTTGCAGCGAGCCTCTCTACTCAAACAATGACCCTCAGCAGCCTAGCATCCTCTGGGAATTTGTAGGACATTCAGACCTAAACCCAGCCAGGTGCAGCGGTTCATGCCTATAATCCCAGCACTTTGGGAGGCTGAGGCCGGTGGATCACTTCAGATCAAGAGTTGGGGACTAGCCTGGCCAATATGGTGAAACCCTGTCTCTACTAAAAATACAAAAATTAGCCGGGAGTACTGGCACATGCCTGTAATCCCAGCCACTCAGGAGGTTTAGGCAGGAGAATGTCTTGAACCTGGGAGGTGCAAATTGTAGTGAGCTGAGATTGCGCTAGTGGACTCCAGCAGCCTGGGTGACGGTGAGACTTTGTCTCAAAAAAACAAAAAACAAAAAACAAAAAACAAAACCTCAGAACCTCAACCCAATCCCAAGCTTGTTAAAGCAGAATCTGCAGCTGAAGACCTTTCCCGTCCCACTCTCCCTCTCCCTCTCCCTCTAGGAGGTTGGCAGCCCCTTAAAGATTGAGTAGTTCTGGCCTAGACCAGAAAGGGGACTGTGGAACCCAGGAAACCTTTAACACGAGGCACCTCACCTGCGGCAGCTGTGTCTGAGAAAATGGAGGTCAGCTGTGTCCTGAGGTTAGCTGACGACTGATCTTTTGTTTGAGTTGAGGGAGACTCAAGTTCAGTCTGGGCATTTGGAGTTTTCTAATTGCTAATGACAGTTCTTTTCTGGAATCCTAACATGAAATACACTTTTAAAGGATCTGAACAAATTAAAGTAGCAAAACAGAAAATTCTAGACGTAGGCTGGGCGTGGTGGCTCACGCCTATAATCCGGCACTTTGGGAGGCCAAGGTAGGCCGATCGCTTGAGGTCAGGAGTTCAAGACTAGCCGGTCTCTATTAAAAACACAAAAATGAGCTGAGTGTGGTGGCGCACAGCTGTAATCCCAGCTACTTGGGAGGCTGAGGCAGGAGAATTGCCTGAACCTGCGAGGCAGAGGTTGCACTGAGCCAAGATCGCGCCATTGCACTCCAGCCTGTGTGACAGAGCAAGACTCCATCTCAAAAAAAGAAAATGCTAGATGTAATAAACCATCCATGACACAGGAAGCCTCAGACCAAAGCCCTAGCCTTCAGTTCTCAAACTTGAGTGGGCACTGGAGTCACCAGGAGGGCTTGTGAAAACCCAGAGTGGGGCTGGGGTGGGAGTGAGAATTTAAACTTTAGCAAGTTCTGAGAGGCTGCTGAGGCTGCTGGTCCAGGGAACAGCCTTTGAGAACCACTGTTTCCAAGCCACGCAGTTATGGCTGCTTTGGGATTATACCATCCCTTAAGTATATAATACTGGTTAAATAATCTGGTTGGGTGCAATGGCTCATGCCTGTAACCCCAACACACTGGGAGGCCAAAGTGGAAGGATCGCTTGGGCCTAGGAGTTAGAGGCCAGCCTGGGCAATATATCAAGGCCTCACCTCTAAAAAAATTTTTATGGCCGGGCGTGGTGGCTCACGCCTGTAATCCCAGTACTTTGAAAGCTGAGGCAGGTGGATCACAAAGTCGGGAGTTTGAGACCAGCCTGACCAACGTGGTGAAACCCCATCTCTACTAAAAATACAAAAATTATTATTATTATTATTTTTGAGATGGAGTTTCGCTCTTGTTACCCAGGCTGAAGTGCAATGGCGCGATCTCGGCTCACCGCAACCTCCGCCTCCTGGGTTCAGGCAATTCTCCTGCCTCAGCCTCCTGAGTAGCTGGGATTACAGCCACGTGCCACCATGCCCAGCTACTTTTTGTATTTTTAGTAGAGATGGGGTTTCACCATGTTGACCAGGATGGTCTCGATCTCTTGACCTCGTGATCCACCCGCCTCGGTCTCCCAAAGTGCTGGGAATACAGGCTTGAGCCACCGCGCCCGGCCAGGCGTCGTGGTGCGCACCTGTAATCCCAGCTACTCAGGAGGCTGAGTCAGGAGAATCACTTGAACCTGGGAGGCAGAGGTTGCCGTGAGCCAAGATCACACCATTGCACTCCAGCCTGTGACAGAGCAAGACTCCGTCTCAAAAAAATTTTTTTAAAAATTAGCTGGGCATGGTGGTGTGTACCTGTAGTCCCAGCTAATCAGGAGGTTGAGGCAGGAAGATTGCTTGAGGCCAGGAGTTTGAGGATACAGTAAGCTATGACCACACCACACCACTCCAACCTGGGCAACAGAGCAAGACCCTGTCTCAAAAAAAAGAAAGAAAATGTCATTCAGTATTTTATGTTTGCAAAATTGTAATGCATTCTGATGACCCAATATGAGCTTACGTGCTCATCTGAATATTTTCCTGTATTTATGCAACACACATCATTTTCATTTAAATTATGTACAACCTATAAAGTTTATTGTTTATGTTCAAGTACCACCCTGATGGAGACAAATACTTTCCTTTTTCTTCTAGTGGCAATTTCACATGTATAGCAATCTAGAAATCTCCTTTTTGATGCTCTGCTGAAAAATGTCCAATCGAGGTTGTAAGATCCGAAGAGGATATATTATTATACTAATCAAAATATCCCAGTGGATATGAAACCAACCAACCAACCAACCTGCCATTCTTCCCACTGCGTTCCTTCGAAATGGCCCTGTTCTAACTCTTTTCACATGGTGTTCAAATTATTGATTTATTTACTGTCTGACATTCTCAAGGGCTCATAGGTTCCTCAAGGGCAGGACAGTCTTCTATTTTTAAAAAAAATTGTGTAATAAGGAGATGTTTGCTTTTCTACTATTTGTCTAGTTTGTGTTAATAAATACTGAGGTAGTTGTTTCTGGGTGAGAGCACTGTGCACATGTGGGCGTGTGTGTATGTGTGTGTGTGATGTGTGCTTATGTGAACATGTCAGATACCTGTGTGTGAGATTTCATATGATACGAGGTGGTTCATGCCTATAACCCTAGCATTTTGGGAGGTTGAGGTGGGAGGATTGCTTAAGGCCAAGAATTTGAGATCATTCTGGCCAACATACCGAGACCCCGTCTTTAGTAAAAAAATAAAATAAAAAAATAAAAAATAAAAAAAAAAAGAGGCTGGGTTGGGTGACTCACACCTGTAATCTCAGCACTTTGGAAGGCTGAGGTGGGTGGATTACCTGAGGTCAGGAGTTTGAGACCAGCCTGGCAAACATGGCAAAACCCAGTCTCTACTAAAAATACAAAAAAAAATTAGCTGAGTGTGGTGGCGGGCACCTGTAATCCCAGCTACTAGGGAGGCTGAGGCTGAGGGAGGTGGAAGTTGTGGTGAGCTGAGATCGAGCCATTGAACTCTACCAGCCTGAGCAACGAGAGTGAAACTCTGGAAAAAAAAAAAAAAAAAAGATTTCACAAGTGTGAGATTTGTAGGGTGTAGGGCACGAGTGGAGGAAGACTGAAGGCTTGTCCGTGACAATGGCTGTGTGGTTCCGTTGCGGGACGGGGTGTGTGTAACTGTCTGTTGCTCCAGAGCTGTGCATGTGTCTACCCTGGAATTCACCAGTAAGAATCCAGGACCATCGGTAGCTGGCTTGTGACGCGTGTCCCTACGACCCACCCATGTGTGTGAGGTGGGAATGAAAATGTGGTGCCCATGCCCTGGGTCTCGGTGGGCTCTGTCAGAGGCGGGCTGTGTGCTGGGCCTCGGTGGGTTCCGTGTTCCTTCCTGTGTCTGGGTCTGTCTCCCCGTCAGGGTCTCCCTGGCCATGTCGCTCTCTGTGTCTGAAGCTCATGGCCCTCCAGGGTGGGTGGGTCTCTAGGTGATTCCGATACACCCTCCATTCCTGTGTCTGGGGTGGTGCAGAGCCAAAGGGTGGGTATTCTCTGTTCCTGGGGCCAAGGAGGCTCTCTGGGAAGTTAGCAGCTGGAGATTAGATTTCAAGGGATCACGAAAGAAAAGGAGAAAGGATCCCTGGGCAGGGCCAGGCCAAGGACCAGGGTCTCAGAGCTGTTAGAACAGTCATAACAGCTTCCACGTACTGAGTACCTATTATGTGCTGGACACCGTGCTTTATGCTTTCATGCTTTATGGTTTTGCATTTACACTATTATGTTAATGCAATATTGTATATTAAGTATATTACATATATATGTATATATACATTTTTTTTTTTTTTTGAGATGGAATCTCTGTCACCCAGGCTGGAGTACAGTGGTGCGATCTCAGCTCACTGCAACCTCAGCCTCCCAGGATCAAGTGATTCTCCTGCCTCAGCCTTCAGAGTAGCTGGGATTATAGGCATGTGCCACCACGCCCAGCTAATTTTTGTATGTTTTTTAGTAGAGACAGGGTTTCACCATGTTGGCCAGGCTGGTCTCGAACTCTTGACCTCAAAAGATCCTCTCGCCTCAGCCTCCCAGAGTGCCAGCATTACAGGCATGAGCCACCGTGCCTGGCCTATATTATACTTATAAAATAACAATTATATGGGCTGAGCGTGGTGGCTCACACCTATAATCTCAGCATTTTGGGAGGCCGAGGCTGGCGGATCACCTGAGGTCAGGAATTCAAGACCAGCCTGATCAACATGGCGAAACCCATCTCTACTAAAAATGCAAGATTAGCCAGTCGTGGTGGTGCATGCCTGTAATCCCAGCTAGTTGGGAGGCTGAAGCAGGAGAATCACTTGAACCCAGGAGGCAGCGGTAGTAGTGAGCTGAGATCGCTCAAAGAAGAAAACAAAACAAAACAAAACAAAACAAAACAAAACAAAAAAAAGAAAAGAAAACACACTTATATGGATTGTTCATAATGTTTTATATCAGTTGTAAATTACCTTATGGAGAGACCTCTTTTTTTTTTTTTTTTTTTTAGGAACAGGGTTTCCCTCTGTTACTGAGGCTGGAGCACAGTGGTGCAATCACAGCTTAATGCAGCCTTGACCTCCTGGACTCAAATGATCCTCCTGCCTCAGCCTCCCAAGTAACTGGGACTATGGGCATGTGCAATTGTGCCTGGCTCATGAGACCTCATTTTCTATTATCCCATTGAAGGTAGGGGGAAATGGAAGCTCAGAGAGGTAAGTTCATTTTCCCAAGGTTGCTCAGCAAGCAGGTGGCAGAGTCAACATCTGAACCCACTTCCAAGTGTCTCCAGTGTTTGCCTCTTAATAACGGCCCTCCTCTGTCTGGGGTGGAAGCCACAGAGCCTGAGGAGGACCAGCAGGGCGTAGGTCTAGCTGAGTGACCATGGATGACAGCAAACTGGTGGCGTTATGTTGTTGCGATGGTTTGCCTTTATTGAGTCCTATGTGCCAGGCACTGCACATAGGATAATTAGATAATAATAATGATCCACCATGTGCAGTGGCTCATACCTATAATCCCAGCACTGTGGGATGTGGGAGGACTTACTGAGCCCGAGAGTTCAAGATCAGCCTGGGCAACGTGGCGAAACCCCATCTCCACAAAAAATTAGCAGGGTGTGGCGGCACGTGCCTGTGGTGGCATGTTCCCTACTCAGGAGGCTCAAATGATCCACCTGCCTCCGTCTCCAAAAGTGTTGGGATTCCAGGTGTGACCCACCTGTGTGCACTCTATATATTATAGCTTGTAATGCTATGCTGTTTGAAATATTGCAAATATCTCCTCAAGCCTTTGTACATTGTCTTGCAAACGGTTTTTAACGTGTTATGCAAATACTGCTATCTGGTACTTCACAGATTCTGGATTGCCAGCCGTGGTTAGGAAGATTGCCCAGTCTGAGTCTGGTGGGGGTGGGGGGGCTCCTCCCCATCTTCTCTACCTGCCCCCACCCCACCAGGGCCGCTCTCCTTATCTCCAGCTTCTCCTTTCCCAAGGTCCTGTGTCCCAAGGAGGGAGCCTGCCCAGCCAGGAGGCCCCAGCTTCCCCCTCCTGCCTTCCCCTTCCAGACTTTCCTTATTTAGAATAAGGGTTGTTCCATTTCTTTCTTTCCTTTTTTTATTTTCTGGCTCTGTTGCCCAGGCTGGAGTGCAGTGAAACGATCTCGGCTCACTGTAGCCTCGAACTCCTGGACTCAAGCTATCCTCCCACCGCAGCTTTCTGAATAGCTTCGACTATAGGCCACACCACCGTGCTGAGCCAATTTTATTTTTCAGTAGAGATGGGATCTTGCCTAGACTGGACTCAAACTCCTGGGCTCAAGCAATCTACCTGTCTAGGCCTCCCAAAGTGCTGAGATAACAGGTGTGAGCCACCAGCAAGCCCCTTGTCAATTTTTTTTTTTTTTTTTTTTGAGACGGAGTCTCACTCTGTCACCCAGGCTGGAGTGCAGTGGTGCGATCCTGGCTCACTGCAACCTCTGCCTCCCTAGTTCAAGTGATTCTCCTGCCTCAGCATCCTGAGTAGCTAGGATTACAGGCTCGTCCCACCATGCCTGGTTAATTTTTGTATTTTTAGTCGAGATGGGGTTTCCCATGTTGGTCAGGCTGGCCTCGAACTCCTGACCTCGTCATCTATCCTCCTCAGCTTCCCCAAGTGCTGGAATTACAGGCGTGAGCCACTGCACTGGGCCCCCTTGTCAATGTTTAAGAGCTCTTCCCATTTCTTTTAACCTGTGCCACCCTCTGTGTTGCAAATGACTCTTCCTCAAGTCCTGTCTATTGTCTCTCTTTATAATGTTTGTCACCTAACATCTTAAGGTGCTAGGTTGTATACACAGCGTCCACCTTGTCAGCTTCCGACCTAAGTTAGTCAGGTCTCCGGGCTCCAAGGGGAGGGGCGCCCTCCCCCTCCCTCGCTGATTCAAAATCTCGCAGCTTGTACCTTCCCACGGGTCGGGCGCATAAAAGCGCGCGGGGCCGCGGCGGGGCACTGCCACCATGTCCCCGTTGCGCCCGCTGCTGCTGGCCCTGGTCTTGGCCGTCATGCCCTGCGCCCGGGGCGCCTGCCCGGTGCCCGCCGACCTCAAGCACTCGGACGGGACGCGCACGTGCGCCAAGCTCTACGACAAGAGCGACCCCTACTATGAGAACTGCTGCGGGGGCGCCGAGCTGTCGCTGGAGCCGGGCGCCGACCTGCCCTACCTGCCCTCCAACTGGGCCAACACCGCCTCCTCGCTCGTGGTGGCCCCGCGCTGCGAGCTCACCGTGTGGTCTCTGAAAGGCAAGGCGGGCAAGACGCACAAGTTCTCCACCGGCACCTACCCGCGCCTGGAGGAGTACCGCCGGGGCATCTTCGGAGACTGGTCCAACGCTATCTCCGCGCTCTACTGCAGGTGCCCGGCCGCCCACCCCAGGCCCCGGCCCCAGCTCCGCACAACCCCCCCCCACACCCACCACCCAAGCCCTGAGGCTGCTCCGCACCCCTGAGCTCCCCAGTGAGCCTTCATGCTCCCCACTCCCCTAGACCCTCTATACCAGCCTCAGCCCCTAAAACCAGTTCCACAGCCCACCCCCAGACCCAACCCTGGAGGCCCCTCAACCCACCTTGTGCTCACAGACGGGGCACCTAGATCCAGTGGTGACACCTTCCCAAGCCGTCCCCAGCCACTCCTGTCCTCTGGGAACTCCAAGAGCCCCCAGCTCCAAACTTCCAGTCTAGGATCCCTGGTTCCTGAACTTGGAACCTCAGACCCAGATGCCCCAGCCCCCACCCGGCCTCAGGCTTCTGGAACTCCCCAGACCCTGGGTCTCTGAGAGCCCTGGAAGTAATTCTTGATTACATTTCAGGTGCAGCTGATGCTTTGCTGCTCTCTCAGCTGCAGCTTCCACAGAGTGCTAAGCCCCTCACTCGGCCTGTCCCTGGGCTCTGCTCCAGGGCCCCAAGACCCAGAAGGAGGAGCGTTCTGCCTGCCCCCTCCCACCTCCCCTGCAATACAGCCGTTTCCTATAGTTGCTTCATACAGTCTGTCATCTGCTTGTCCCTGGGACCCAAGTCCTCACCAGACTGGGTGGGATGCAGGTGAGAGCAGGGCGGTGGGGCCTGGGTCAGCCCATAACCAGGACAATGCCTTGGATGAGGATATGCCATAGATTCCGACATGGTTTTAGGTGTGTTTAAAGACACGTCCCCACAGAAGGACATATGAGTGAATCACAGGGGCACCTGGACTGATGTTAATGTGAAATGTGCCCCACCCTTTTCGGTAAATAGCCCTTCCTTAGCCAGGCGAGGTGACTCAGGCCTACAATCCTAGCATTTTGGGAGGCTGAGGTAGGTGGATAACTTGAGGTTAGGAGTTCGAGACCAGCCTGGCCAACACGGTGAAACCCCATCTCTACTAAAAATACAAACATTAGCTGGAAATCGCTTGAACCTGGGAAGCAAAGGCTGCAGTGAGCCGAGATCGTGCCGCTGCACTCCAGCCTGGGCAACAGAGCGAGACTCTGTCTCAAAAAAAAAAAAAAAAAAAGCCCTTTCTTGAGCCGTTTCTGGCCTCCCAGAGGCCTCTGGACTCCCTCCATGGTTCCTGCAGGGGACAGCAGGGGGCCTTCTAGGACCCCGCCCAGGGTTAGGACTAGGATCTGCAAGTGATCACTTAGAGGTTGTCAAATACTTTTAATCCCCACATCCCATATTTCCGTTCTGATCGCAGTCTGTGTCCCCACCTCTCCCATGAATGAAGGACTTTGATGGATGCCTGGGTTTGGGGGCTCTGCGGTGGCTGGAGAGGATACGCAAAGGGTCCTTGGAGGAGAGGGTGGGAGGAGAGCTCTGAGAGGATGACAACTGCAGACAGCAGGAGGGAGCTCAGGGAGAGTCTGAGACCTCAGAGATAGGAAGGCCAGGCCATGTGGCTCACGCCTGTAATCCCAACCCTTTGGGAGGCCAAGGAGAGTGGATCACCTGAGGTCAGGAGTTCAAGACCAGCCTGGCCAACATGGTGAAACCCCGTCTCTACTAAAATACAAAAATTAGCCAGGCGTGGTCATATGCACCTGTAATCCCAGCTACTTGAGAGGCTGAGGCAAGAGAATCACTTGAACCTGGGAGGTGGAGGTTGCACTGAGCCGAGATCGTGTTACTGCATTCTAGCCTGGGTGACAGAGCGAGACTCCATCTCAAAAAAAAAAAAAAAAAAAAAAGAGAGAGAGAGAGAGATGGAGAATAGGTAAGTGGAGATGCTAAAGGGAGATGTGTGACGAGATCAGAGGTCAAGGTCAGAAGGTCCCCGGGGTGTGAAGATAATGGAAGATCAAGGATCAGGGGCGGGTAAATGGGGCAGGAACTGAGTGAAGTGAATGTTCCATTCTCCCTTCAACACACATTCGCTGCCACCCACTCTGGGCACAGTCCTGGGCCGGATGGTGCTGGAGACACGGCAGTGAGCAATCCATTTCAGTGGAGTTCAGAGCACTCAGCATCCTTGGGCACAGGTGTCTATGCATTCACTCAACAGAGATCTACGGAGCAGCTGCCAGAGCACCTGTCAGGCACTGAATTTACAAGGCGTGGCTCTGCCCTCATGGGGCTCAGCGAGTGCTGGGAAAGGCCAGAGTCCACTGTTCAGTAGTGTGTGAAGCTGTCAATCAAGAGAGAAGCCAGGGGGCCAGGCAGGAATAAGGGGCCTAGGAGGTGGCTAAGGGTTAGGGGTTTCTAAAGGTCAGGGAGGGGTGCCATGGGGTCAGAACAGACGCGGAGCCAGCCAGTCACTCCCGGAGCTGCACAGACACGGAGGAGTCGGTGACCCGTGTCCGCCGCAGCCCACCAGGCTCCCTGCGGTTCTTGGCCTTGTGCAGGAAGTGGATGAAGCGCACGCCAGAACCATAATGACGGAAGACGTGGGATACCTGTGGTGACAGCGCCCGGAGTCAGGGAGGAGCCCTTTCTGAGGACCCGAGGACCTGCTCTCCTCCCTCTGTGAGGTCTTGGGAGAAGAACACATGTCTGGGGTGGAGGCCCGGGGCCGGGAGTCTCACCTGGACCCAGCGGCCAGGGGGGCCTCTCCCAGAAGTCCGGGGGGCCACGTGGTGCTGAGCAATGACTGTGCGGCGGTCGGCCGCCAGCAGCCAGACGTGCAGCTCGTAGACGCACGCGTCCAGCCGGCTGTCCTCAAACCTGCAGGCGGGGTCCAGGCCTTCAGCTGCCACTGCAGTCTCAGCTGCCCGGCCCCAGCCCCGGCCCCGGTCCCCATTCAGCACACATGCTGCCACTCACTCTGGGCATAGCCCTGAGCTGGGGGGTGCTGGCAACATAGCAGTGACCAAGACAGCCCCACACCCATCCACATAGGATCCATAGTCCAGTGAGGGAGGCAGGCATGCCACCAAGCATGACAGCCAGGAATGGCCAAGACCGGGATGGGGAGCACGGGCAGAGGGGTCAGGGCCAGGATGGGGAGACCCAGGCAGAGGGGTCAGGGCCTGAACTGGGGACCCAGGCAGAAGAGTTGGGGCTGGAATTGGAGACCCAAGCACAGGGGTTGGGGCTGGAATTGGAGGCACAGAGAGGTTGGGACCGGGACTGGGGGGCACAAGGCACTGGAGCAAATGCACCTGACCCAGCTGAGGGGTTTTCAGAGAACGCTTCCTGGCGGAGCTATGTGGAAGTGACTGCTGAGGAATAAGAAGGAATTTGTCTTGAGAATAGACGGCAACAGGCTTTTAAGAAATAAGGAATAGGCCGAGCAGTGTGGTTCACACCTATAATCCCAGCACTTCGGGAGGTCGAGGTAGGCAGATCACTTGAGATCAGGAGTTCGAGACCAGCCTGGTCAACATGGAGAAACCCCGTCTCTACTAAAAATATAGAAATTAGGTGGGCGTGGTGGCACACACCCAGTTACTTGGAGAGGCTGAGGCAGGAGAATCGCTTGAACCTGGGAGGTGGAGGTTGCAGTGAGCTGAGATTGCACTACTGCACTCCAGCGTGGGTGACAGAGTGAGACTCCATCTCAAAAAAAAAAAAAAAAAAAAAAAAAAGAGAAAGAAAAATAAGGATCAGCTTCAGTCGCTCCCTGGCACATTTCAAAATCGGAAAGACTCAAAGAGAACGGGCCAGGAAGGTAGGCAGGGCAGGAGCCTGCAGCACCAGGAAGGCCTTGATGGGGGCTGAGAACACGGGGAACTGGGGTAAGGCTCGTGCTCTGGGCAACCCTGTGTGATTGGGGGTGAGGCTGCAGGGCAGGGGCACGCACCAGTCCATGACGGTAATGTCCGGCTGCTCGTCATCCAGCAGCTCCTCCCACAGGCCCTCGGCCAGGAGGTCCACGCACTGCTGCTTCACCGTCCAGCTGCAAACGAGGGGCCGGGAGAGGCGGGGTCTGCGATCTGCCAGGGTCCCGGGCATCTCCAGGAAGCAGGAAGCCCTGTCTCAGCACTTTCTTAGGGAGAGCTTGAGTCCCCACATGTGGGGTACACCTTTCAGTCTCAGTCCCCATGGGCCCCTCTGAGGACAATGCATCCTGAACCCCATGCCACAGACGTGGAACCTGAGTCTGAGGATGGAGACGTGCCCGAGGTCAAGTAGCAAACCTGGCAGAGTCAGGATCCCAGCCTTGGCCTGTGTGACGGAGCCACCAAGTCACATCAGCTCATCTGCCCAGGAGCAAGGCTCGTTTCCTGGAGGCCAGGGTGGCCTGGGTGATTCTCCCCTCCCAGGGAAAGAGCCTTAGAATAATTACAACAGTAACAGTCATGGCCAGGCACGGTGGCTCACGCCTGTCACCCCGGCACTTTGGGACGCCATAGGAGGGCAGATCAATTGAGGTCAGGAGTTTGAGACCAGCCTGGCCAACATGGTGAAACCCCATCTCTGCTAAAAATACAAAACTGAGCTGCGCGTGGTGGCTCGCAGCTGTAACCCCAGCTACTCAGGAGGCTGAGGCAGGAGAATTGCTTGAACCCAGGAGTCAGGGTTTGCAGTGAGCTGAGATGGCTCCCCTGCACTCCAGCCTGGGCAACAGAGAGAGACTCCATCTCCAAACCAAAAACCAGTAATAGCTGCTATGGACTGGTGCTAGCCAGACCTGGCCGGGCCCTATGCTGTGTGTTTTACAGGCATTCTCTCTTGTGCTAACGCTGTTTACAGAGCAGGAAATAGAGGCCCAGAGAGGCCAGGTCAGTTTCTCCAGGTCTCACAGTGAGGAAGGACAGAGCAGGAAATGGAGCCCAGGCCGCAGCGGTCCTGACGACTCACCTTAAGTTCTGCTGGAGCTTCTCAGTTCTAATGAACCAGCCGCGGAAATTGCCTGCAGGTTGGGGAGCAAAGGGTTAGAACACCCCAACCCTGGAGGACCCGCCTCACCCTCAGCAACCTGGGCCTCCAAACACTTACCCAGAGTCTCCAGGGGTCGCTGGGTGGGACCAGTAGGGGGCGCTGGCTCATAAATGTTGATGCCTGAAACACGCAAGTGAGTGGAGCCTCCGGCCAGCCCCGCCACCCTCCACGGCCTTACCCCTCCCTGCCCGCAGGGCTACACTGGAAGGACAGGAATCTGTGCCAGGTCAGGGCAGCTGGGCAGGGGTAAGGGGGAGGGTGATGCCAGGGGAGTAAGGGGGTTGTGCTGAGATAGAGACAGAGGGACAAAGAGAAGAACCCAGAGAAAGAGACAGGCCAAGAGTTTGAGACCAGCCTCGCCAACATGGCCAAACCCTGTTGCTACTAAAAACACAAAAATTAGCCGGGCGTGGTGGTGCGTGCCCATAGTCCCAGCTACTGAGGAGGCTGAGGCAGGAGAATCGCTTGAACCTGGGAGTTGAAGGCTGCAGTGAGCCGAGATGGCGGCACTGCACTCCAGCCTGGGCGACAGCAAGACTCCAAAGAAAACAAAACAAAACAAAACAAAACAAAACAAAAAGAGAGA